CATTTTATACCTTTATAATTACAAATTATGAAATATAATTCACATGCATCTATTTTTATTTATTTAACCTTCTACTTGTACATGTTTAATCAAAATGTTTCAATCTAAATTAAACAATACTTGTTTGATATAAAAATATTGGTAATAATCAACTCACTCTTGATTTTTTGGACTTGCCGGTTCAACATAATTCAAACGGCCCACCAGTTTCTAAGAAGACATAGGCCAGGGCCCATCACCCTATGCTCACAACAAAAACCCACCCATTTAAACTCCAACCTCCTTATATGTCATCACTCTTAAAAAAAATAAAAAACATTCACAAATTTTTATTCAATTTTAATTGAATGTCAACACTAATGATGTAAACCAAGATACACCAGATCAATTTACTTCTAAAGTACAATTCATGGGTAAACATAAGATTAAAAAAGATTAAGGGTTCAAACTTCTTCTTACGTTTTTCACCATAACTTCAATTATCACACGATCTTTCGCATATATATATATATATATATATATATATATATATATATATATATATATATATATATATGGGGAGAGCAAAAGAGAGCTAGGTTCTTTTGCTAACCAAATTATTAGTGTTAAATATGTTAACTTAATTGACCACCAAGATTATTTGTTTGGTGTAGGTTTTATTCATTATTGAAGGGAGGACAAAAATGTAAATTGTATAAGAGTGTAAGTTACATTTTTAACATTTAATGAGATGATTTAATAATTTATTTGCTTGATTTTAGGGATAATGATCAAGTCAAAAATGATTAAATCAAGGTGAACAAAGTACATTTTAATTTTTTTTCTTGTGCATGATTTTTTGTACATGTTCATGTATGAACAAGGTGGACATCTTTAACAATACAAGTACCAAAATAATATGAGCAATGCAATGTTCRCCYATGAASAAGGTGAACATCCTTACCAATACGAATAMAAAAAYAATATGAACAATACCAAAGTTTAAAGGATGAAGACTTTAGAYATTAAATCATTGATGAAATCGGTTACTATTTGATGAAGTAATTACTAGGCGCTAATTCATGAGGAGAATTTTTTTTTTTTTTGGTTTCTTTCAATAATACCGCTGTTCGTATATGTTAATCTACCAATCTATTGCAGTATCTTAGTTATTACATAAATACCATTGCTAAATATAATCCAACGATTTTCAAGATAAATGATTGTGATTRGTTCACAAAGTTAACAMAATATATTGGGTTAACAAAAGAAATTGCCRCTATATATACGAATGATCATGTGATAATA